ACGAACGGCCGATTCCAGCAGAGGACCGCTCTTGATGCGATGCTCCTGCAAACAAAGCACATCAGGCAGCGCCTGATCAGCACTGGCATGGGCCCATTCCAGCAACGTCTGCGCCGACGTCCATCTTGATGAATTGGCCGACCACAAACTTATCTCATGCTGCACACTAGCAACCGTACTCTCTTCAGCTCCATATTGCTGAGGCTCCTCTTGCGCTCCACCACTGCCCCGCCTGTGATCAAAGACGCTTGGGCTTCTTGGCCGCGCTGCCGAGGGCCTCCAGGAGCCGCTTGGCCTGGACAGGGTCATCGACGTCCACTCCGGCCTCCTTGAGACAGGCCTGGATGTCGGGGTCCTCGGAGTCGAACTCGACGTCGACGTCCATGCCTCCTGCAGGTACGTCCACGCCAGAAGCAGCGGCGCCCCCAGCGCCAGCAGGAGGAGCATCAGGCTTAGCAGCGCTGGCTGCCTCAGCTGCCTTCTGCTTCTGCTCCTCCAGCTTCGCCGCTGTCTCCTTGGCCATCCCAGCCACGTCGACGCCGAAGTGCACACCCATCGCGTCCAGCATTTTGCCGAAGTTCTCCAGCAGCTCGATACCGCTGTTGATGTCTCCAACCTTGGACTGGTCGGGGGTGACGGCCTCCGCCTGCTTGGCGGTGATGGCTGCCTTGATCTTCTTGAGATTGCCTTCGTGCACGGCAAGTTGGGCGATCTGCTCTTCTGCGAACTTTCGTGCGGCCTCGAGTGCTGCTTCTGCCTCCTTGACTCGCTCACGACTTGCATCAATCTGCTTCTGCTTCCGCGACTCCCTGCCCAACAGGTCCTGGAGGGACTTCGAGCTGAGGTCTGCGGGTTGGGGCTCGTCCGACGCTGGCGGCTTCTCCGCGAAGGCCACCACGTCGTCCATCGACTTTCCCGAGTGCTTCTCAAAGGCACGGAGGATCTGGACAACCATCGCATTGTCAGGGGCCCGTTCTTTGTCCTTGCCTCCGCCGCCACACTTGGAGCGGTTCGAGCCCCCTGGCTGGTCTCCACCCCCTTTCGCACTGCGGGGCGGCCCACGCGCCCAGTCCCCCTGGAGTCGCTCTGCCCATGGGGGAGAGTCCCCAGGCCTCCTCTGGATGTTCTGGGCTCTGGGTGGGCCGATCTTTTCACATTCACGACAATGGGATCGCCATATGAAGTTGGCATACCGACAGCGGGAGTCGCTGCAGATCCAGGTTTGGAACTGCTTGCCTCCCATTCCATCGCGGCCAACGGACATGGGCGAGAAGAGGATTTTTTTTTGCTCGAGACAGCTGCGCCACTTCCAAGTGCGCTGCCTCAAAGGTTGTGCCTGCTCGAAACCTGGAAATGGCCGAGGGGGGAAGGAGGAGGAGGACGAGGAGGAGGAGGAGGAGGAGGAGGACCCCCTCCCCCTCCAACTTGTGATGGTGGTGGTGGGACACAGGCCCCTCGCGTGCGTCTATCATCGAACCCTACCCAGCCCGTCTTTCCCCGGCGCTCGGCAGCACTGCCGCGCGCACCGCTCCAGGGGCCGCGCCCGGAGCCGGGCCGGCCGCGGGGCGCGCACGGCGCGCAGCCGGGGCGTGCACGCGGGCGGCGCGGGGCCGCCCGCGGAGGCAGGCGGCGGCGGCGGAGGGCAGGGGTGAAGGCGGGCGTGTCCCCCTACAGGGGGATGTTCGACGAAGCATAAAACATGCACCAGAAATGCTCCAACATGATCAACAAAAAAGCACTCAACAAGAAAAAGTCCGCAGACTATTTTGGGACTATGTTTGACTGTTCCTCCTGTAGAGGGACAGGCCCGACTGAAGGCAGGGGGAGGGATGCATCGCGGGCCTGGGCGCGAAACGAGGGAGGGTTCTCGGGAGCCCGCAAACCAGGTGGTGAGATCTCAGACGTGTGCTCATGATGTTTGTGTTGCTGACGTGCATCATCGATGTAGGGTATTGGTGCCTGTGTTTGGTGTATGATGCTGGTGTCAGTTATGGGTGCGCACTTGAATAACATAATGCCCGTCTTGCGTGTGTGCGTGTGTGTTTGGTGTCCGATCTTGCTGCATAAGGTCGGTGTATGCTCTTGACTTGCGTCCTTGATGTCTGCTCCTTGGGCATGTCCTTGAAGTGCGTGAGTGTTTGGCCTAGTGTGTGTGTGTGTGCGACTGATGAGACCGATGGCAGCAGTAGGTCGCGGTTGGCCACGGAGGCTTACGCCTTTGGGCAAGCTGGGCGCCAAGGTTACCAAACTTGCCGACCGATACGCAATTTCTGAACATGTGGCTGAACGGTCTCATCTACCTGAAGGGGCCCTGGGACACACAAATAAATACATACAAATAAACAGATTCCCCATATCTTCACATAATTTCTGGGTTTCTGTCTTCCCCCCCACTTCCCATATTTTCCCATATTTTCTGGGGAATCGAAAATTAATTGTGTCTGTGTGTTTCTTTTCCTCCTGACTACCTGCGGCGGATGGGCGAGGGTCATGCCGACATCAGCCACGAGGCCACCCTGGGCGTCTTCATCCTGGAGGTGCCCAGCTGGCTGCTGGGCTTCTGGGTAGAAGCAAGGCGCTCGCTGATGCTGCTGCTGCTGCTGCACACCGTCTCTTGCAACTTGCGTCTGATTCCAGCTGGTGTGGCTGAGGATTGGGAGGGTGAGGCTCGTCGCATGTAAGTGTTTTTGATGTGCTTGTTGCGGCCCGTCACTGCTCCTGCGTTGCCCTGGCGCTGACCTAGCCCAGCAACACAAACCATAACGCCCTGGACCCCTTTTCGAAGCCCGAGAAGGCTGTACTTCTGGATGGTGGTGGTTGTCTTCGACAAAATCGATCTCACGTTATCGTTTCTTCTCTTAGACTCTCCCGACCTCTCTCCGGTTGCGGTACTTTACGGGCGACGAGGGGCTCGGTACAAAATGCTGTCGTCCTAGCCTCGCCGGCATTGATCAGCCCTCGCCCAACGCCCTCATTATGTCCTTTGCATGTTCGTTGTATGGTCACCTCACGTCTCCGCAGTCCGTCTTGCCGCGTCCGTCTTGACATTTGGCCCTGTGCGACCTCAGCGCGGATCGGTTGCAAGAGGGGTAAGGAGGAGGACAACGGAGAGGAGGGGGAGGGGGGGGAGGAGGAGGAGGAGGAGGAGGAGGAGGAGGAGAGAGAGGAGAGGAGAGGAGGAGGAGGAGGAGAGGAGGAGGAGGAGGAGGAGGAGGAGGAGAGGAGAGGAAGAGGAGGAGGAGGAGGAGGAGGAGGAGGAGGAGGGTGAGGAAGAGGAGGAGGAGGAGGAGGAGGAGGAGGAGGAGGAGGAGGCGGAGGACAGCGTGGAGCAGGGGCACAAGCGGTAGCCAAGAGCCCCCTGCGCCTGCCTGCCCCCGTCCTCTGCCTCCTCCCCCCTCCGTTTCCGCGCCGTCCCGCCGCTCTCGATCTCGCCCTTCTGAAGGGGCCCTGGGACATAATTAATCGTCGATTCCTCAGAAACTATGGGAAACTATGGGAAATATGAAAAACAGAAAATATAAGAAACTATAAAACACATCCGGCTACTTATATGTATTTATGCGTGTGTCCCAGGGCCCCTTCAGAAGGCGCCCTGGGACACACAAATACATACACACAAATGACAGTATTCCCCATAGTTGTCCCATATGTTCTGGGTGTTTGTCTTCCCCCCCACTTCCCATGTTTTCCATATGTTCCTGGGAGTCGGCGATTCATTGTGTCTGTGTGTTTTTTTCTCTCCTGACCTTCCTCCTGAAAGCGGTGCGAGTGCTGTACTGCTGCTTTCAGGTCGGGCATGTCCCCCTGCAGGGGGATGTTGGATGGAAAATTCAAGAGACCCCAAACTGTTCAAAAAGATTCCAAAATTGGTCCCCGTACTATCATGTGACTATTTGGGAATATTTCTCCTGTGCAGGGACAGGCCCGACTTATTGCTACTTGAGCGCGGGCGAGAGACCGATGTCCCTTGGACCCGTGAGATTCGACCTGCTTCTGTTTGTGGACTCCAGGTTATCTTAGGCCCATGTAGGTCCTGTTATTTGTGTACGATGGGACATCGAGTCAGGTCGAGGCTGCTGTACTGTCGTTCCTGGAGCTCTCCACTATGTTGGTGAGGCCTCCTGCGGCTCTGCATGTCGTTCACTTTCGCCAGGGCTGTTTGTTGCTTGCTGCCTCAGGTGACGAGCCTATGCTCGTTCGGCGGTTGCGCGCGGCCGCCGCTGCCGACGGCGCAGGCGGAGCACCCCGACGGTCTGGCCAAGAAAAGACGGAGGGAAGAGCTCGGAACTCGGGTGTCCGCAAAAAGATGCCAGAGGACACCATTGCCGGGTGTGTACACTATGCGCCATGCAGACCAAAAGAGCCTAAGTGGAGCGGGCTGAAATAATAGCAGTAACCTGTCGAGCAAGTTGAGCAAGACAACGGATGCTCTGCTCGAGAGCTCCTGAAGTCCTCACCTTGAGGAGAACGGGGGCCCCGTACACACGCTGCTGCTGCTGCTGCTGCTGCTGCTGCTGCTGCTGCTTCTACACATGCACACAGAGAGGTGAGCGTTTTCTCATTCGGCTTTTCAACATTGGACGGAGGGGGGGGGATGGGAGGGTCTGGCTCCGGACCTCTGCTGAGTGCCACTGTTTGCAACAGCGCGTCCCATTGGGGGGGACTCCACCTGCTCGAAACAGGCGCCAAAAGCAGCCAAGATCCACTCCATGGGGGGGGGGGGCGGGTGAGCGGGCCCGCGCCGATCGGCAAAACAGTGAATAAAACGACGATCACGAGGAGGAGGAGGCGGGGAGGCGGGAGGCGGGAGGCGGAGGAGGAGGAGGAGGAGGAGGAGGAGGAGGAGGAGAGCAGGAAGGAGGAGGAGGGAGAGGAGAAGGAGGAGAAGGAGGAGAGGGAGGAGGAGGAGGAGGAGAGAGGAGGAGAGGAGGAGGAGGAAGGAGGAGGAGGAGGGTGGAAGGCGGGCGCAGGCTCCCGCTCGAGGACCCCGCCGGCGGCCCTCACTGGAGCGCGCAGGCCTGCGCCGCGGGCGGAGGGCCCGTCTCTGCGTCCCCTCCCCCCCGCCCCGCTGGCCTCTGCCATTGCACGTGCTGAAATCGGGCGGGAGGTAACTTTGGACGCCCGACATGGGTACGGAAAGAATGGGTACAATGCCCAACACCACATGTTGTCCTTAACAAACAGTGGCCGCTGTTGGGCAGGCGGCCTTCTGTCTCGAATGGACACAGGCCGCGGCGGCGTGGACAGCGAGTCCTGTTCAAAATGAACAGGAACCGCTGTTGGGCATCGTACCCATTCTTTCCGTACCCATTCCGTTCGTGCCGAGTAACAAGGGGTGATCCAAATGGGGGGTGAAGAAAAAGGCCCCAAAGGGGCCCTTGAGGGCCCCTTTTGGGCACCAGCTGGCCCCCAAAGGGGCCCCCAAGGAGCCCTTTGTAAACCTTTCTTCACCCCCCATTTGGGTCACCCCCCAGTACCACCCGCTCGATGAAAACTACAATCCTCTCTCCCAGGACTCTGTGTGGAAGATCGCTGGCCATCTCCGCGCATTCGCTTTTCACACGCAGGCTTACCAAAGGTGGTGTTCTCCCGTGTGCTTTTGTGTCAACCAACCTATTGCTTCCAGTGTTTCAAAATGGTGCTCCCGCTGCAGCGCGGGCCTCATTTTCGAATCGGCGCTGTGCTCCCGTCGTTCAAAATGGCGCCCTCGCCCCATCGCATGCCACTTTTCTGGATCGAGTCCTCTTTCATCGTTGTAGCCCCCCTCAGTTCCCCTCCCCCACCTTCCCCTGGTCCTCCTGCTCCTCCCCTTCCACTCCACTTCATGCTGCTGCTGCTGCTGCTGCTGCTGCTGCTGCTGCGGCTGCTGCTGCTGCTGCTGGTCGTTCTCATCCCCGTTCCTCCTCCTCCCCTCGTCCTCCTCCTCCTCCTCCTCCTCCTCCTTCTCCTCCTCCTCCCGTCCTCCTTCTCCTCCTCCTCCTTTTCCTACTGCTCATCCTCTTGCTCGCCCGCCACCACCTCCTCCTACTGACCCCCCTCCTCTGTACGCATCTCCCCTATTCCGATTGCGCATCACACGATGGGGTCTTTTTGGAGTTCCAGGTCGGACGCGTCTGCGGATAGCGGACGAATCAGCGCAACGGGGAGAGATGGGAGGAAGGGGTAGGATGTCAGATATGGCGCGAGCGCGCCGAACTTGCCTCGCCCTCCTCCTCCTCCTCTACTCTCCTCTCCTATCCTCTCTCGCGCCTCTCCTCCTCGCCTCCTCGCCTCTTCCTCCTCTCCACTCCTTGCCTCTTCCGCCGCTCCCTGCTCACCTCGTCACCCTCCTCTCCCTCCTCTCCCTCCTCTCCCTCCTCTCCCTCCTTCCCTCTACCATCGTCCTCCTCCCTCCCTCCCCCCCTCCCCTCCCTCCCCTCCCCTCCCCTCCTCCTTCCCCTCATATCCTCTCCTCTCCTCTCCTCTCCTCTCCTCTCCTCTCCTCTCCTCTACAAGTACACATTATGAATACTCATCCTCTCTCCCCCTGACTGCCTGGAGGATGTCCCGCCCTCTCCGCGCATTGCTTGTTTACGCGCAAGGTTTCCGAAGTTTGCAGCTCTTAGATGTTGTCACATCTTGTCGCGAGGGCTCCTTCAAATAGTGTTCCCGCTGCAGCGCTGGCCTCGTTTCCGCGTTTATTTCCCTTGAGAATCGTGCTCGCACGGCAACGCTGGTCTCATTTCCACGTGTTCGCTCCTGAATGGTGTTCCCGCTACAGCGCTAGCCTCATATCCGCGTCTTCGGTCCTTGAAAATGTGGCTCTCGTCAGCACCTGCCTCATCTTCGAGTTGTTGGCCATTCAACATGGTGGTCCTGCTGCACCGTTCACGCAACCATGGCATGCAATTCGGTGTTGTATGATGTACCGCTGTTATGCCATGTCATGTCTTGCTCTGCAAGGTTGTGTTCCGCCACAAAACCTTAACACGATACTGATGTGTTACGTGCTGGTCTGCGATGCCACGCCTTGCGCTGCAATGCTATGGTATGCGATTAGCGATGATGCAATGTCACACCATACGATACAAGATTACGCTTTGCCGTGCCCTCCTACGCCATGCTATGCCATGCTATGCATCGCGCACTGTTTGGGGATGACTGTCCTCTTCGACATCCGACTGTGAAAATAAGGATGGTCTCTACGTAATGGTAAGGGGTAAGGGATGGGAGGGAGGGGGAGGATGCGAGCGCGCCTAGCTTGCGTCTCCCTCGTCTCCCTCCTCGTCCTCTTCCTCCTCCTCCTCCTCCTCCTCCTCCTCCTCCTCCTCTCTTCCTCTCCCTCCTCACTCATCTCCTCTCCCTCCTCTCCCTCCTCTCCTCTGCTCCACTCCCTCCTCCCCCTCCCATTTCCCTCCTCTCCTCCACGCCTCTCCATGAAGAAAGGGGTGCGTAAACGGGCAATTGCGGGCGCAGGCTGCTATTGACGTGGCTCTCTGCTGCCGGATCCCCAGTGGAGCGTTGGGACACTGAAAGAGGAGCAAGGCTGCACGACCGGCTTGCCAGTGTATCCTCGCAGCATGCCCACCTGCTGCTTGATAACAGGTTTGTTTTACGGAGGGCGACGCCACTCTTCCTATCCCATGTGCGTCCAATTAGAACAAAGCTCGGAATGCATCCCTGATTCTGAGGCCTCCATCGGTCGACTTTCCAAGAGACGACTACTTCATATCACAAACTAGTACTTGCTGTCATGTTTGCGACTGGACATCTTGGCGTTTGACTCTGGTCCTTGGTGGTGCAACTCACCGTACCCTCCTCATCCGGCATCTCCCTCTCGTACTCTTCCAGCACAGGCTCCAGCCCCTCCTCATACTGATGGTTCATGATCCTCCTCATCCTCCTCCGCCCCCCCCGCCCTCGTCCTCTTACTCATCTTGCGCTACGCTGGCCTGCTGCATCAGCCCGCACTCCCGGTATTTCTCGGGACCAAGGTTGAAGTAAGCCAGGTCGTCGGCGCAGCCACCTTCGAGCAGCTCGCGGGGCTGGCGAACTGCGTTTCGAGTGGTGCTTGCTGTATTCGGCACTTCGAGCGGGGCTTGCATCATGGGTGCCATGCTAGTGTTTGTCATCCACATGCGTAGTGACGGCCATAATGATCACCGCGACGATAGTCAGGATTGTGATTAAAATGATGCCCGATGTATGAAACGTTTAGGTGGTGACCAAGATGATGGATAATCAGTGTCGTGATGTGGCGGTCGTAGTAATGCCAACATAGATGTTGATCATGATGATGACGGTCACCTTGATGAACATCATGGCGATGATGGTCATGCTGATCATTGTGATGATTGTGATGGTGGCGAGAATGATGACTCGCCTCCCACCCTTCCCCAATACTTCTAGCAAAGACGTCTGGGCCCCCAGAAACAGCCACCAACGTCAGAAACAATCTGTGTGACCTTACAGGATCTGCCCCTTCTCCTCATCCGCCGGCTCCGTCTGTGTGCCTGGAAATGGCCAACAAACGTCAAAAAACCCTCGACCCTACAGGATCTGCTCCTCCTCCTCCTCCTCCTCCTCCTCCTCCTCCTCCTCCTCTTCCCCTTCCTCCGTCTCCGTCTTAACCTCCACCCCTTTCCTCATCCGCCAATGTGCCTGCACGATGTGGGCCTGTTAGGGTACCAGGTGCTGCTCTGTAGAGTATCTGCAGTCTAATAGGCCCCCCGCTCTACTCCAGGAGTGTCGCGTACATCCCCCCCCCCCTGCCGAGGCCGGGATCCCTCGCACGAGCCGCTGGATCCGCGCTGCCGGGGCCTCGATCCCTCGCAGACAGCGACAGATAGGCGCCCCGAGCTGCCCAGACTGCCCAGGCAGGCACTCAAAGACACCAAGATGACCCAAGATGTCTCGAAGACGGGGCAGCATTTAGATTCAGCGCAGCCCAGACCTAACGAAACGTCTGCAATCTCAAGAAATCCTCTTCCACCTGACGGCCTCAAACAAAAACTTCAGCCTTTTCCGCCAGAGAAACTCAGAACAGATCTCCCGATGAAATGTCCCGAGGATCTCGCCTCCTGGAAGTATCCCAGGAAATCTGGCGGGAAATCTTGCCGCCTGGCTATCTCCCAAGAGATCTCGCGGGCCTCCTGGAAATCTCTCGGGACATTTTCCAGGACATCTTGCTTCCTGGAACTCCCGACAAGAAATCTCCCAGGAAATCTTCCCAGAAATCTTCCCCACCCCTGGGATCTCCTGCGGGGATCATCCGGTCCCAACCGGGCCCACGGGCTCTGTCTTCGCGCCCTCACTTTAGATTTTATGCCGGAAATTTTGCCGGCGATGTTTGCCCGGAGATGTTTGACAAGATTTTGCCATACCTTCTGCTTGATATTTTTCGGCGGGACTTCTGGGCCAGAGATGTTGCCAGAGAGTTTTGGCCGGAGACAAAGATTTTGCTGGAGATTTGTGGCAAATAATTTAGGGCAGGAGTCTTTTTTTGGAGGCCAACCAGAGACTTCAGGGAAGATGTTCGACAAAAGCGTTCAGCGATTTCCTGGCATTTCGTTGGGTCCAGGTGCGCCCCATGTGACCCAAGACGGCCCCAAGGCTGCCGAATCTGGCCTCGACACGGCCCGAGATGCCCAAGACGACCCCACGAGGGCCCACAAGGCATCCAAGACGGCCCCAAGACGGCCAAGGAGGGCCTCCCGTAGGACCCAGGACATGCTGAGAAGGCCCTCCGCCTGCCCAAAACGGCGCCCAGACGGCCCTCGGACACCCACCACATCAAGGGCTCTCAGCTTCGCGCTTCGCGTTGCGCGAAGCGCGAAGTGCGAATAACTTCGCGCTCTCGCACCGCCTCCCAGGGGAGAGGAGGAGGAAGAGGAGGAATCGGAGCCGAACCGCGGAGCGCGAAGCGCAAAAAACTTCGCGCCCTCGAGGGCGCCCTTGCATATGGCCAAGAGGGCCCCAAGAGAGCTCCAAGACAGCCTAAGAGGGCCCCGAGACGGCACAGGAGGGCTCCCAGGGACCCCCGAGGCTGCCTCACAGGCCGAGGCAGCCCAAGACGGCCCACGCGAGTTCCACGAGAGCTCCTCAAATAGAGAAAAACGAAAGGTGTCACATGTGGTGGTCGTCCTCTTCCTCCTCCTCCTTCTCCTCCTCATCCTGCTACTCATCCTCCGAGCCGTCTTCGTCGTCGTCGTCGTGATCCTCCTCCTCCTCCTCCTCCTCCTCCTCCTCATCCTCATCATCATCATCATCAGCATCATCACCAGCAGCAGCATCAGCAGCATCAGCAGCAGCAGCAACAGCATCAGCATCAACATCACCTCCATCACCATCACAATCACCAGCACCATCACTGTCACCATCATCATCATCCTCATCATCATGGTCATCATCAACACCATCATCATCATCAGCAGCAGCAACATCATCGGCATCATCACCATCATCAGCATCAGCATCAGCATCAGCATCAACAACATCATCATGACCACCATCACCGTTACCATCATCATCATCATCATCATCATAATTACCATCATCATAATTACCATCAACAACATCATCATCAACATCATCACCATCATCAGCAGCAGCGTCATCATCATAATTACCATCAACGACATCATCATCAGCATCATCAAACGCATCAGCATCATCACCCTCAGTTTCATCATCAGCATCACCATCACCATCACCATCACCATCACCATCACCATCACCATCACCATCACCATCACCACCATCATCATCATCATCATCATCATCATCATCATCATCATCGTCATCATCCGCGTCATCCTCATCATCCTCATCATCCTCCTCCTCTGATCACCAACATCATCAGCAGCAGCAACAGCAACAATATCAGCATCAACTTCAATATCATCATCACGGCTCTCCCAAGCCTGGAGACACGAAAAGACACGCGTGACGGCTTCCTTTGCCCCCTCGAGCAACCGCGACCGAGAATGGTTCGCCGGCATGGTGGCGGGACTTGCCGCAACGAGCTGTATGCATAACCTATTGCTGTCACATCCCCAGACGTGTCCGTACGCTGGGCCAGGCGTTTCGCTTCCTCACCGCTCATGATCCTGAAGCTTGAAATCCCACCAGTCCTTTTGCCTAGGGTGGTCTAGCGGTATCTTTCTTTCCTCTTCCAAAACCCCTTCGAGGAGGGGTACCCTCCCCCTCGCCTCCCTGAGTTGTTTTGGCTGGGGCCAGGATGTGTTAGAGGGTCCTTTTTCGCCCAAGAAGGTTCCAAAAGGGCCTCCGATGCTCCAATATAGCTTCCAAGATGACTGAAGATAGCCGCCGGGGTTCAAGATAGCTTCCGCATACTTCCATGAGGCCCGACGAGTGCCACAAGGCGGTTCCAAGTGCTCTCGGAGACTCCTCAAAACCCTCCCCAGAGGCCAAGATCTGTCCAAAACCAGAAAGGGGAAATAAATGAGTTGTGCCTTCTCGCCTTTTCGATTCCGATGCCCTTTTGAGGCCTGAAGATGGCCACAAGATGGCCCGAGAGAGGCCCGAGAGGGGCCCAAGAAGGTCCCCCAGACGGCCCCGAGGGCGCCCAAGAGCGGCCACAGAGCGTCCCAAGAATGCCCCCAGAGGCGATTTTGATGGCTCCAGGGCCCCAAGAGGACCTCAAGATCCCTCAAACGAGCCCCAAAAGGCGATTTTGAGGGTGCTGTCCTCGTCCCCGGTGTCCTGATCCTCCTCCTCCTCCTCCTCCTCCTCGTCCTCGTCCTTGCACTCATCGTCTTCCTTTCCCTTGTCCCCCTCTTCCTCGTCGTCGTCGTGGTGGTTGTCGTCGTCGTCGTCTTCCTCCTCCTGCTTCTCCTTCTTTCCCTCCTTCTCCTCCTCCTTCTCCTCATGCTGCCCTCGTTCTCACGCGGCCCTCAGGGATCGCCCGAAGAGGCCATGCAAGACCACCCCCTTGCTCCCAAAGATTCCTCTATTCAACCTGGTTGCCCGCTTTGTTTCACTACATGTGTCTCTTCTCCCATTTTCCCAACAATTCTCATGGGCAGGGTTTCCGCGTGCTGGTTGGGATACGCGAAGCATGGGGAAATCGCGACGGCTTCACGGATGGAGGGGGAGTGGTTTTCAAAGTCCGGCTCTTGCCTCAACGCCACCAGAGCCCTCCAGCTCGCTGAGAGGAGCGCCATCCTCGTCAAGGTCGCCACTTTTCGAGGGCCAAGAAGGAGAAGGAGGAGGAGGAGGAGGAGGAGGAGGAGGAGGAGGAGGGCTGGCCCACAACTAACCCACAGAGCCGGCAAAGGCATCCGGCCCGTCAGGAGGGGCGCCATCCCCGCGAGGGTCGCCACGTTTCGAGGGCCAGAGCGCCCAGCCCGGAGCTGGCCCACAGGAGCCGGCAGAGCCTTCCAGCCCGCTGGACGGAGCGCCATCCTCGTCAGGGTCGCCACTTTGAAGGGGCCCCAGGACACACAAATAAATACACACAAATAAAGATATCCCCCATATTTTCCTATATGTTCTGGGTTTCTGTCTTCCCCCCCCACTGCCCACATTTTCCTGCATTTTCTGGGGAATCGGCGATTAATTGCGTCTGTGTTTTTTTCCCCCTCCTGACACTTTCCGGGGGCCAGGGCGCCCAACCCACCAACCACAAAAACGTAACCATAACCAACAAGCAACCATACAAGCCCGCATCAGCAAAACGACAACAATAAGAACCACAACATTGCAGCCACATGAGCAGCAGCGACGGCATGAACAGCGACCACATCAGCAAAGCCGGCGAATGCCAGGTAAGAAACCCTGGTGTTGAAGCACACTTTTAGTGAACAAGCTGGTGTTATTGCCGATGCGGATGCAGGGACCAATGAGAAGGGAACTTTGAGGGAGGATGGATTGCAACATCGTGGATGAGTCTTGGGCTTCCACTGGTCCTCCTCCTCCTCCTCCTCCTCCTCCTCCTCCTCCTCCTCCGCCTCGCCCTGCTGCCGTGGCCCCTGTCCCAGGCGAGCGCTGCCTTGGCAGTCCACCACGCCCGCACGCCGCAGCAGGTGCAGCAGCCAGGGCAGCGACTGGGCGCCCTTGCGCCACTCCTGCAGGGTGCCCACCGGCATCGACGAACTACCACGCATCCTGCTGATCGAAAAATGCGATTTGTTTTTGCTATTTACAATGTCGGGCCTTTGGAGACCAGGTCCGGGCCCAGGGGAACGACAGACAGAAACCGACTCGGGATGCAAAACAGGCCTGTGCGAGTCGACAGGTCCGGGGACTCGAACACCGCCGCATGTGTGGGGTGTGGGCTGCTCCCTGTCCAGGATCAGCTCGGTTCGGGAAACAACGGGGCGACGCGGGTGAAGGGCTGCTCTCTGGGAAGGAGGGGCGGAAGTGGTACACTCTACTGCCAGCTGCAGGTGGATGCGCGCAGTGCGAATACCTGTGTGGCCGTAGGAACCGAGCGCCTGCAAGTCGTGCTGGAACCTGGACCGGCCTCCGAGCTCCCTGGGCTACCAGGATGTCAGGAAGCCCCATGTTTAGGACCAGCTCCACTCAGGGAAAGGTGCTTCCTCCTCCTACTTTTCCTGCTTCACAATATCTCCGTGGTTGAACCTGCACTGGCATAGTGGAACCGATCGCGATCGTCGCAACTATTGATCTGTAAGTCGAATGACAACGATCGGAAAATCATGGATCTGCAATCCGCTGGTCGGCAATCCACCGATCTGCACTGAATGGGATAGCTCACCTAAACTCGATAACCTGCTGAACATGGTCTCTGACTTGCTCTGTACTGACAGACTCGCGTTGGCACCACATCGGCTGGCATCGGACACGAACGTACAACGACTGCTGCTGTTGGAGCTCGGTCGACGCCTGCAAATGACGCAAACCTGGGAAACATCGATATATAGAGCGGAGATCCGCCCAACGAGCAGTCGCCGTTTATGTGACCTCCACAGACACGCTGAGGGCTGGAACTTTGCATCCCGAGACAAGGATCACGGGCGCGGCGATGGCCAGGCTCTACTCCCACGCATACAGTCGGGGCGTTGACCTAAGGAACCCTAAATAAGGAACGAGGCCCCTTTTTCCCATAAGTTAAACTTCGATTTCCCATCGAAACCCTAAGCAAAACCAAAGGCGAACTGCAAAACAGCTAAGGAACACCGAGCCCCTCCCCAACGAAAAGGGTTCCTTCCTCAACGCCCCGACTGTACGTGCACCACCTCCTCGAGGTGCCCATCGTCGGAGCCACGGACTCCACGATGGGCATCGAACTCGACTCTACGCTGGCGGAGCGGGGGCTGACCGCTCGCAAGGGGCCCTGGCCCTAGCACCTGGCAGTTGCACAGCACCAGCAGCAGGGGCCTCCAGATGCCGGGGAGCACACGTTAGGTCGGGCATGTCCCCCTCCAGGCGGATTTGGAACGAAAAATCAAAAATAATCAAAACTACTCAACACACGCTCAAACAATAATAGGAAAATCGTCCCCAGAACAAGTTTGACTATGTTTGAATACTCCTCCTGTAGAGGAACACGCCCGACTTAAAGCACACGTCCCAGAGAAGACCCCCCGAGGGGAGAATTTCCCCCGACGGAGTGGGGTCCTGATGGACACGGGTCCCCAGATACCCTGACCCCCCCGCCCGGCCCGAACAACCTTCTCATGCCGCCAGGGTCGCTCGCTGACGGTCCTGGGGCTCAGGAAGGGGCCCCGAGAAACCGAATTGGCCGAACGGGGCGGGACTCGCTTCCCTGGAGGCCCCCCGTGTCTCTGCATGGCGAGGAGGAGGCGGGAGGAGGAGGAGGCCAAGGGGGGACGGAAGCGGAGGCTGCGGGGTCGAAGGCGAGGGAGGGAGGGAAGAGGCGGAGGGAAGAGACAAGCAGACACGGAATGTAAGCACGAGGGCCCTGGTGCCTGGTGCGGGGGGCTTGGAAGGTGGCACCAACCAGCGCAGAAGGCTGCCTTCACCCAGGGAAGGTGGTCCTATGTTTGGGTCGGGCTTGTCCCCCTACAGGCGGATTTTGGACGAACCATGAAAAACATTTCCAAACTTGTCCCCAGACTATTTTTTACTATCTTTGAATCTTCCTCCTGTGGAGGGATAGGCCCGACTTAAGCGTAGGGGGCTGCCTTCACCCAGGGAAGATGGTCCAATGTTCTGGCGCTGGTGGTAACATCTCGGCCACCTAGGAAGCCCGAGTATTACCGCAATCGATAAGAACGGGAACGTCTCTCCTCGGTGGAGGCACAATGCCGATAGTGGTGCTGGTGTCAAACTCGGGGGCGCGCAAACAAGGATAAGCGATCCATGGATTAGGCGCGCGGTCGTCAAATCCATGGATCGGGCGAGGCGCCCTCCACATAATTGCGGCCAGTGCCGCCTCGCTCGGCGGCGGAAACTCGCGATTTCCCACGAAAGCGGGACCCGTCGCTAATCCACGCCCCCTTAGTCCATGTTTGCGATCGTCTGAGTGTTGTCACCTCATGTCTCCGCAGTCCATCTTGCCGCGTCCGTCTTGACCTTTGGCCCTGTGCGACCTCAGCGCGGAGCGGTTGCATGGGGGTCGAGCGTGGAGCAGGGTCAGGTCGGGCCTGTCCCCCTACAGGCGGATTTCGGGCGAAAAATCAAAAATACCCCAAACATAATCCAAAACGGTCAAAAAATGGTGCCGTGTTACCCCCCTTCCTCCCCCGAACCCCACATCGGGGGCCGCCTCCAGCGACAGCTTCCCGTCGCCGTCGGCGTCCAGCGCCAAGAGCCGGCGCCGGATGCGCGCGCACTCCTGCCGCGAACGGGCCGGCTGATGCACAGGCGCGCATCGTGGGCTGGCGCGCGCGCGTGTGTGTTTGTATGTCGGTGTGTCGGTGTGTGGGTGTGTCGGTGTGTGGGTGTGTCGGTGTGTGGATGTGTCGGTGTGTCGGTGTGTGTGTGTGTGTGTTTGTGTGTGTGTGGTGTGTGCGTGTGCGTGTGTGTGTGTGCGTGTGTGTGTGTGTGTGTGCGTGTGCGTGTGCGTGTGCGGGTGCGGGTGCGGGTGCGGGTGCGGGTGTGTGTGCGTGTGCGCGCGCCCGGCGCGCCTGGCTGCTGCCACCCGCCAGCAGCTCATCGTCGAATCCTCCTTCGTCTGAGCGTCCCTCCTTCCTCTCGTCGGCCTCCCCCCATCGCGTCCTTCCTTCCTCTCGTCGTCCCTCCTTCCTCTCGTCGGCCTTCCTTCCTTCCTCTCGTCTGAGCGTCCCTCCTTCCTCTCGTCGTCCCTCCTTCCTCTCGTCGTCCTTCCTTCCTTCCTCTCGTCTGAGCGTCCCTCCTTCCTCTCGTCGGCCTCCCTTCCTTCCTTCCTTGCGCGCCGGCCACCTCGCCAGTTGGTTCGTGTCCCCGCGTGGCTGCTGCGCTGGTGCGGATGTCGCCGCCTCGCCGCTGACGAGCACGGGGCGCTGAGGAGGGACCCTGCTGCCGAGGAGGAGGAGGAGGAGGAGGAGGAGGAGGAGGAGGAGGAGGAGGAGGAGGAGGAGGAGGAGGAGAGAGTAGAGGGGGATGAGGGCCCCGATTGTCTCAAGAGTTTGCTTCGGGTTTTCCATGGGGTTTTCCATGGGAGATCGAGGCTGAACTTATGGGAGAAGGGGGCCTCGTTCCTTACTCAGGGTTCCTTAGGTCAACGCCTCGACTGTACGAAAACAGTGTGTGCGCGCGTGTGTTTTGCAGGCTTCGCCGCAAGCGTGGAGCGTCGACGCCCCGCCACGCTCGACCTCGGCGCCCGTCTCGCGCCCGAGGCTGGCCTCCCCGGGCGCCTGGGGGGAGAAGGGGCGGGCGGGCGGCCCCTCGCCCGCAGGAAGGGCCAGACAACTGCACGCGAACTCAACAACGAGAAGTGCACAGTCGAGGCGTGGGCCTAAGGAACCCTGAATCAGGAAGGAGGCCCCTCGTTCCCATAAGCTCAACCTCGATATCCCATGGAAAACCTCAGGAAAACCCGAAGCAAACTTTGAAACAATCAAGGAACACCGAGCCCGTGCCCAACGAAAAGGGTTCCTTCTTCATCGCCCCGACTGTGGTCAAAATTGTTTGTGCTCGTGCGCGCGTGCGCGCAAATCCGCCGACCACGTCGGCGCGTGGGAGAATCTGGCCGAACGAGACCCCCGCAAAGTCGAGCATGTCGGGCCTGTCCGAGCGAAGCCCAGACAGAATCTGCCCGTCACGAACCGTGTCCGAGCAACTGCCACACACGACCAGTTCATCTCGTACGATTCTAGACATGCATGGGACGCCCCTTCCTGTATCCTTCGATGTCCGCCAAAACAGGATCCCAAGGAAGGGGGTCCTGGGATTCCAGAAAGTACCAAGACAGGCCACGAGTGCCCCAAGAGGCCCCCGAGACGATCCGAGAGGGCACCCAATCGCCAAACGATCGGTCCAAAACGCCTTCGTGCCCTCCAGACTGCCCAAGAGACCGCCAAAACGGACCAAGAAGCCTCCAAGAGCACTCCCGAGAGGGCCCCAAGAGGCAAAACTATTTCACGTGCCTTTGGTTCTTTCTGGAGTAGGGCGTTCTCGCCTTTTCCTCTTCCCGCTGCTCCAAAACGACCCAAGAGGCACCGCACCCAAGATCGCCCCAAGAGGCTTCCAAGAAGCCCCCAAACAGCCCAAGAGGCCCCCGAGACAGCCCAAAACGCCTGCAAGAAGGCCCAAGAGGCCCTCAAGACGGCTACAAGAACGTGCCCAGACGACGAGGGGCCCGAACGGGCACTTCGAGCCCTCTGCCCCGAGAGGCTCCCAGGAGGCCCCAAAAGGTCCCCAAGGGGCCCCAAGAGGCCCACAAGAGATCCCAAGGAAGCCCGAAGAGGCCCCCAAGAGGCTCCCACGAGGCTCACAAAAGGCATCAAAATTCTTCTCAAGAGGCCCCCGACAGCCTTCCGAAAAGACCCCAAGAAGCATCCCCGAGGACTCTGGCCCACGTCAGCGCCGTCGTCGTCGCCGCCGCCGTTGTCGAGGTCGTCGCCGTCCCCCATTCAGGGTCCGCCGCGCCGAAATTGAGGCCTTCGCAATAGGCTGAAAAGCCGAAATAGAATCGAACAGATCCGATATGTGGGCTCCGAGACATTTTCCCCAACGAACGCCCAACAATTCCCTCCCGCCTGCTGCCACCCGCCTCCGCTCACGCTGCCTTTTTTTTTTCTGCGGCCTGATGCAAGCGCACCGCCCCGGCCGCCCGTTCCTGGATGGTGCGCTGACGGCTCTGAGCGTGCCAGCAACTGCCATGCGCGCGCACACGCCCCCCCCCCACAACACACACACACACACACGCACACACACACACACACACACACACACGCACGCACACACACACACACACACACACCACACACACACACGCACACACACGCACACACACACACACACGCACACACACACAAACAAACATACACACGCACGCACGCACGCGCGCGCACGCACACGCACACCACACCCACCCACCCACCCCACCCACACACGCACGCGCACACGCACACGCACACGCGCACACGCGCACACGCGCACACGCGCACACGCGCACACGCGCACACGCGCACACGCGCACACGCGCACACGCATACACACACACACACACACACGCACACACACACACACACACGAACACACACACACAACACACAAGCACACACAAACACACACACATACACACACACACACACACACACACACACACACACACACACACACACACACACACACACACACACACACACACACACACACAGCGTACACACACACACACACACACACTTTTTCACAAGCGCAAGCGAGCCCCTTGGCGAAAACGCAGGAGAAGAGGGGGAGGGGAGGGGGAGGAGGAGAGGGGAGGGGTGAAACCAGCAGCACCAACCCTGGGCTGAGCCACATTAGCCCAATCCGGCGCCCCGGGCCGCGCCTCGAGCCGGCTGCGCCGCGCCGCGCCCCAGCCCTCCTCGCTGCCCCCCGCCCGCACCGCGGGCACCAGCAGGAGCGCCGCTGCGCGGGGCGGCAGCACGCTGGCCCATCCTGGCCAGGGCTGTGCCGCCAGCGCCCGCCAGCGGGGGGCGGCGCTGCCGAAGCAGAGGCACGCGACCCAGCCAGGTCCCTGCGACGCCGTGCGCTGGCGCCCACGCGCCGCCCCCGAAGAAGGCGCGGGCGGCCTCGGTAGCACCGCGCTGAGGCAAACCCTGGCCGACCGCCCACGGTCGCCGAGCGCGCCTCTGCAGCTGCGGTTGTGGTGGGCCGGCCGCCGGCGCCTGCTGCTGCTGCTGTTCTGAGCCCCTTGCCTGTTGGGCCGCACAGCCCGCGCCAATGGTGGGCCGCGCGCCCAACGTCTGCGCACCCTGGGCCCAGCTGGCCCGGAGCCCTCGTGGTTGGCACGCAGCGCGGCCAACTCCACGGTGGACAACAGCCGCTGGAGGGAGCGCAGAGCGTGCAGCTGCACCTGCCGCCCGACGCAGAGCGCGCGCTCGGGCAAACAGGCGCGCGCGGCGGCGCCCGCCAGCTGGTCGGCGGCCTCGTTACCAGCGTGGTCCTCCGGAGCGACTCCGCGGCCCGCCGCCGCGGCGGCGTCGAGATGCCCCTTGACCCAGCGCGCCCCGATGAAGCCGTTCTCGCAATGCGGCTGTATCTGCTCCCACAGGTCCGCGTGTGACCACTCGGTGGGAGAAGCGCCGGCGAGCAATGCCGCAACCCCGTGGACAACGTAACGCGAATCAGAACCAGCTCTAAGGGTGCCCCGACCGCGCTGACAGCATGCACCGCCGCAGTGAGCTCGGCCCTTTGCGCAGTCTGGGACCGGCCCACGGGCCCACTACGGCGCCGCAGCACGCCGCCAGGCCCCCTCCAGCACAGGCCCCGCCCGAGCAAAGAGAGGGTTGGTGGGGTGCTCGCAGGCTCCGTCGCTCCAGGCCCGCAGCCGAGCTTGCCCAGGGCCCACCGCGGGGGGCGGCAGCGGGGGCGGCGGCAGCCCCTGCTTGGCCTGCGCAGCCAGCGCGGCCATGCGCGGGTCTAGTTAGCGGCAGTACCCCAGTCAGCGGAACGCCAGCGGGGAGGCGCGCAAACAAAGCTGCTTGACTCAGACCTGCGCTCTGCAGCTCGGCGCGGCGAGCCGATGCCCACTTGGGGCACTCCCCGAAACGGTGTTCCGTGGTGTCCGCCGCGGCGCCGCAGTGCGGGCCGCCAGCGCGCCGGCCCCACTTCGCGGCCACCGACTCCGTGACGACGTTTCCTGTGAGCACCGCACGCAGGGCGCCTGCCGCGTCCGGCGCCAGCTCCGCGCTTTCGAGCAACCGGCGGGTGGCCCAACGGTCGATGCCGCCGCCGACGTGCCCGAGGTCGGCAAGCCGCCCGGGCATCTCGCGGGCCTCGCGCCGCCCCCACTGCGTCGAGCAGCGCCGCGTGAACGTCCTGCAGGGGCTGGCGCTGCGGTCGCCAGCCGCCCGGAGCCCACGGGACGCCCTGCCAGAGCGCGATGTCGTCTCCAAGACCCAGGTCCATCATCATCGCGGGCCCCAGGTCCATCATGCTGCGCCTGGCGGCAGCGAAGGGCCCCTGCTGCCGCCCGTGCCCGGCGTCCACTGCGCCCGCCACCGCGCGCCAGAGCTCGTGCGGGAAGCGCCCGCGACGCAGCGCCTTGGCAGCCTGCCACAGCGGGGCCAGGGTGGCACCCGCGGCAGGGTCGCGGCGCCAGCTCGGGCTGAGCACGCCGAAGACTGCCTCGGCGGCGGCGGCAGGCGTAAGCCATACTGCCTGCTTGCAAAAGTCTGCACGGGCCCCCAGCGGCTCGCCGCAGTCCAAAAATGACGGAGACGAGCATTGACAAGCAACTCGGTGTACCTCTAACACGCTGTTGGTTCGCAGCGGCACGAAGCTCACTGCAACAACGGCGCGGCAAAACTCAAGCTACAGAAGGGATGTGGTGCTCTCGCAATAATTCACGCTGGCAACACCCGCGATTCCGAATGGCACTCGCTATCGCGCCAGACACACGCAGTTGCAGTCGCGACTCGATGCTCCCACCACATCAGTGGCCACATTCACAGCCCCAAATGATGTCGCCTCAGCGCAGCAGAGGGTATGTCAGCAGCAGGCAGCAGATAGCAGCAACAGCAGCAGGAACAACGAGAGTGGCAGCAGCGTGGCAGAGGCCATGCGCAATCAGTGTCCGGGCCTCCGACAACTCGATTGTGCCCATTGCCCCGCCGCAGACCTCTCGACCCCTTTCCTGGGGCGCGTGCTCCATGAAGCAATTCTTTGACAGCCCCTGGGCCCGTAGCTAGACTGAAGATGAAAAAAAAGGCAGTTGCTTCCAGAGGTGCCGAATCACGAACTCGGCCCCCCCTACGTTTTTTGATAGTACTAGTGGCGCAGCTACGAACACGAAACTTGATAGGCTACTACGTGTGAGAAACATCTGCTCCGAACGTCAAAATTAGAGACCACCATAATGTGGTCGGAGTAGATGAGGTCGGAGGATCGCGCTGCATCGCCGATACATCGACGATGCATCGGCGATGCATCGGCGATGCATCGGCAATGCGTCAGCGATGCATCGGCTATGTCGGCGATGCATCGGCGACGTCGGCGTGGGGAAACACGATCTCCGCATCGCGCCGCATCGGCGATGCATCGCCGATGCGGCGCGCTCTTCCGACCCCACTTGTGCAGCACAAAACCCGGATAGCGACCCAGTCCTAAGCGCGTGAAGCGCTTGCGGGAGACGTTGGCAAAGACGCTGGAACGCATGCCTGGGGAGCTTGCACGCTTGAAGATATGCGTGTGGGAGACGCTTGCTGGGGGGGCCGGAAAGCATGCCTGGAGAGCTTGCAACCTTGGAGACATGCGTGTGGGAGACGCTTGCCGGGGCGCTGGAAAGCATGCCTGGGGAGCTTGCATGCTTCGAATAGGAAGCTTCGACGGAGCTTCGAGGGAACTGCGAAGCACCTGCGGAAAGGCTTCAGGCACGCGAATTGGAAACGAGTATGAAAACGCTTGTCGGGACACCCTGCAAATTCAAGCAACTCGCTGCGGGGATGCCTGCCCGGGAGCCTTGGAGAGGAGCTGGCCTCTGAGCTCTCAGAGAGCTATCCGGGAATCTACTCGGAACCAATCCAGGAGGCCTAGAAAAATTGCCGAACACCTCTCTTGCGACTCTCTCCCGCGTTGCCACCAGAGGTCCTGGCAGCGGCAACGAAAATGCAGCGGCAACAGGTGTGCAACGGCAAAGAAGCACGGTGCGCCGTGGCAGAGGCACCGCGTTGCCGACTGCTCTGGAAGCCCCATCCTGGGAACGCTGGCGAGTGCCTCGGGGGAAAAAAAGGTACCGCTGCCGCTGCCGTCGGGACGTTGGCCTAAGGAACCCTGAATGAGGAACGAGGCCCCTCTTTTCCCAGAAGTTCAACTTCGGATCCCCATGGAACACCCCAGGAAAAAACCTTGGGCAGACTGGGAAACAGTTCAGGAGCACGGAGCCCCTCCCCAACGAACAGGGCTCCTCCTTCAGCGCCCCGACCGTACGTGCTCCACGGGACGCTCCCGGGCTGCGTGCCCAGCGCCCGGCCAACACACTGCGGCCCAGCGTGGGAGGGGGAGGAGGAGGAGGAGGAGGAGGAGGAGAGAGGAGGAGGAGGAGGAGGGAGGAGGAGGAGGAGGAGGAGAGGAGGAGGAGGGAGGGAGGAGGAGGAGGAGGGAGGAGGAGGAGGAGGGAGGAGGAGAGGAGGAGGAGGGGAGGTGCTCCACGGAGCGTTCCCCTGGCTGCGTTCCGCCCAGCATCTCGAGGCACCTCCGGCCGTGGCGACGAGGGCTCTCCGGGACGAGCAGCGGCATCGGCACCGCCGATGGCGCTGCTGCGGCGGCGCTGCCGCGGCGCGCTGCTCCTCCCCTCCTCCTCCTCCTCCTCCTCCTCCTCCTCCTCCTCCTCCTCCTCCTCCCCCTCCTCCTCCTCCTCCTCCTCCTCCTCTCCCCTCCTCCTCCCCCTCCCTCCTCCTCCTCCTCTCCTCCTCCTCCTCCTCCTCCTCCTCCTCCTTTTCCTCCCCTCCTCCTCCTCCTCCTCCTCCTCCTCTCCTCCTCCCCCTTCCCCCCTCCTCCCTCTCCCCCCTCCTCCCCCTCCCCCCCCTCCTCCCCCCTCCTCCTCCCCTGATCGTTGAATTCGAGACACCAGATCTTCGCCCTGCAGGCTTCCGCCGAGCTTCTCCGCCAGCGGAGGCGCCCCCACTCTACTTCCGGCGGCACCCGCTGAGCAGGAGACTGCAGCTCCTCGCGATCCCTCGGAGGCGAGGCCCCCTCTCTGTCTGTTTCGCACTGCCGCTGGCCCTACGGGGCAGGTTTGAATACTTAGGATATTTAGAAATATCGGATGTTTAATACATGATCCATGTATGAATACATGTATGCATGAACTCATCGTTGTTTTAAATGCGAAATCCCTGCATTCTTAATGAATGATGCGCACCTGGAGCATGTATTAAAAACGACACTGTACCGACTGGGCGCGTGCGTGAGAAGGGTATTCTGCAGCTCCTGCCATGGCACCGCGACGAGCTCCTAGCGACCCCAGAGGCCGTCGCCTGAGTCTACTGGGATCGCCGCGGGAGTTGCGAAGTGGATCGCGGAGGTTGAAGCGGATGCCAAAGAGGTTCTCCATGGCACGACCTGGGATAGAAGTCAGTTGCAAATGCCCCAAGTGGCTTGGGTGTGTCGGCGATCCAGGCCAAGTGGGCTCGGCCATCTAGGCAAATCCTTCACCCACTTGGGTCATGCGTAGCCCACGTAAAAGACAGGTTACGCCAGATACAACCACCTTGGCATGCGCTTCTAGTCCCCCCTGTCCCCTTGGCACCCCCCGCGGTCATCCCAGCAGGGACGCCTCGTATTACATTCTACCACGGAGGCAGGGCCCCTTCTGCCGCACACTCATCGCCCCCGGCGGCCCTGTCCTCCAGCTCGGAGGCGGTCTTCAGCGCCCTTTCGCGCCGCGCCTGGCCAGGCCTCGGCGTCGCGGGATCCCCTCACAGGAGGAGGACTCCCGCCAGCCCTTGAGGGCGGAGGTGGTTTAGGGCGCTTCCTCTTCCAACCCACTCCTCCTCCTCTGAGGAGGGGTGCATCACTGCTCCTTCCCATTAAACCCCCCCTCCTCCACCCGCCCTAAGACAAACCCGTACCAATGTTGGACGCCCGAGTTATCCGGGGTAACTCGGGTCCGGGGTAACTCGGGTTTGGGTTCCCGAAAAACGAACCCGAATTATCCCTGACCCGAGTTATCCCTGATGATTCGGGGATCTGGGCGCCCGGAATATCCGGGGTAACTCGGGTCCGGGGTAACTCGGGTTTGGGTTCCCGAAAAACGAACCCGAGTTATCCCTGACCCGAGTTACCCCTGATGATTCGGGGCTCTGGACGCCCGAAATATCCGGGGTAACTCGGGTCCGGGGTAACTCGGGTTTGGATTCCCGAAAAACGAACCCGAGTTATCCCTGACCCGAGTTACCCCTGATGATTCGGGGCTCTGAACCATCCCTAGCAAGCAACAATGCAAAGTGCACTTTGCACCAACACCTGGATCGTGCGCGGACGCCCCGCGATCGCTGGGCACATTGTGTGTTGACGGGGGCGGCGGGGCACTGGCATAGTTTCTTATGTGCAAGGCCAGCACCCTCACCAACCCTTGGAAAACACACACACACACACACACACACACACACACACACACACACACACACACACACACACACACACACACACACACACACACACACACACACACACACACACACACACACACACACACACACACACACACACACCACACACACACACACACACACACACACACACACCACACCACACCACACCACACACACCACACCACACCACACACACACACACACACACACACACACACACACACACACACACACACACACACACACACACACACACACACACACTTCAAAGGGCACGTTGCACCAAAATCTGAATCATGCGCAGCCGCCCCGAGATCACTTTGCAGTGGTTCTTCGACGGGGACGGCGGGGGGGGCTGGCAACATTGTCTGCTGTGCATAATGCTAAGCCCCCGACAATCCATTGCAGAACAAATGCAAACATACAGAATACACTCTCACCAGAATCTGGATCATGCGCGGGCGCCGCGCGATCAGTTTGCAGTGGCTGTTGTATTACAAGTGCGGCGAGGGGTGGAGGTATATTGTCTGCAGTGTGCAGGCCCACCATCCCTTTCAAACAAATGCGAAGTGCACTTTGTCAGGAACGGCGGGGGAAACGGCAGATTGCCTGCTGCTTACAGGTATACCATCCCTGTCACAAATGCAAATGGATTGCGGGTGCACATGCAATACACAATGCTGACCACCACAACGTCACTTTGAACAAGTTCTTGACGGGGACGGTGGGGAGAGCAGACATACTGCTCAATGTGGCGCACCAGGTGCGCGTGGCGCACCTGGCACGTGCGGCGAATCTCGTAGGTGTCGCAAACCTGACCAGCGTCTGCATTGGTTCCCGATGGTTGTCGATGGCGACCCCTGCCTTTGCTGAGACTCGGGTACTATTTATGTAATGGTAGGGCGGGTAAGAATGCTCGAGACAACTTGCGGTGCTGCCGCGGGGAACTTCATCACTGCGCCTTGCACACCTACTCCTCCACCGGAAGGGGCGACAAGCCCGGCCAATGCCGACCCCCCCCACAATGCACAGTGCACTTTGTGCCAAACTCTGGACCATGCGCAGACGCCCCGAAATCACCCTGCATTTACTTTTTGACGGGGGGTCCGAGTAGATGGGGTCGGAGGATCGCGCCGCGTCGCCGATACATCGCCGATGCATCGGCGATGCATTGGCCATGCATCGGCGATGCATCATCGACGAAGGCGATGCATCGGCGCCGTCGGCGTGAAGCAAATCGGGCCCCACATCGAGCCGCATCGGCGATGCATCGGCGAGACGGCGCCATCCTCAGACTCCGTCTACTCCGACCCCATGCAAGAGGCCTAGACAAAAACAATACGAAGTACCTGTTGCACCAAAAATCCCTTGCGTGGACGCCCCGCGATCATTTTGCAATGTTGCTTGACCAGGACGGCGGCGGGGCCGGCATACTGCCTGCCGTGCGCAGGCCCAGGAGGAGAAGAAGAAGAAGAAGAATAATAAGAAGAAGAAGACACTCCCGCGGTCGCGGGTCGCCCCCTCGGGGGCCGCCGCGCCCGAGCGCCCGCGGCCGCGGGCACTCAGCGTGGGAGCCAGCGGCGTCGCCAGCTCGGCGCTCGGCGCCTCCTCAGATGAGGAGCGCGATGGAGCCGCCGACGAGCTCCGCGTCGGACTTACCGCTTCTTCATGCCCTTGCCCTTCTTGCAGCCTTCCGCCGCCGCCCCAGCGGCAGCACCGTCCACGAAGGGCTGCGCGTCCTCGAAGGCGACCTCGCACACCGTCGCACGGCGGCCGCTCTCGACCAGGACGCACACGAAGCCGTGCGGGTCGACGCCGTCATTGGGATCGCCGTACACCGACCCTTGGCGCCCATCTCGAAGACGAACGCGGTCGCCGTCCCGCAGGATGTGCGGGGTGCGCCTCGGGGGCACCTCATCTGCCCACTCGTCGTCGTCGACGTCGGAGGGGAGCTTCATGTCCTCCTGGACCACCGCCTCCGCCGCCGCCGCCGCCGCCGCACCCACCACGCCGCCGTCGGCAGGGGCCCCCACGCCCACCGCCGCCGTCGCCGCCGCACCGCCACCCGGGGGCTTCTCCTCCACGACGTCCTGCAGCTGGAAGCGCGAGTCCACCTCCATCCGACCACCGCGGCCGCGCGGGCGACGGCGCCGAGGCGGCACCGCCTGGGGGCCCGCGCCGACCTCGGCGGGAGGGGTGGGCTGCCCGACCAGCTCGGCCACAGCCGTGCGGACGAGCCCCTCCGCCGCACGCAGGAGGCGTGCCGGGTCACGCATCCCTCCTGCGGCGGCCAAGCCCGCGGCCGCGTGGACCGCCATCAGGGCCCCACGCGAGGCCTCCAGTGGCGCCACGGCGCGTGCCGCCGTGGTCGAACCCGGCATCGGAGGCGAGGCGGGAGGCGCGGCGCGGCGCGGCGCAGCCCGGCGGCAAGGCGACCTGATCCAGTACGGTTCTACAGGCCCAGGAGGAGGAGGAGGAAGAGGAGGAGGAGGAGGAGGAGGAGGAGGAGGGAAAAGGACGAGGAGGAGGAGGAGGAGGAGGAGGAAGAGGAGGAGGAGTGGAGTGGAGCAATCGGACGTAGTCCGTTAGAGGAGGAGGAGGAGGAGGAGGAGGAGGAGGAGGAGGAGGAGGAGGAGGAGGAGGAGGAGGAGGAGGAGGAGGAGGAGGAGGAGGAGGAGGAGGAGGAGGAAGTAGGAGGAGGGGGAGGAGGACGAGGAGGAGGAGGACTGGCTGGGCGCTCGGCGGGGACCTGGTCTGGCCAGGGCGCATGCTTCACACCACACATTCACAGCGACCCGTCAGTGATCCCACTGTACACGTCAGGGATCTGGGAAACTCATACCGCTCTTCGGCGGAAGGCCTCGCCTAAGGCGAGACAGCACGCTGGCTCCTGCCTTCGTCGGAGTGCGACTTGGTGGGCACTCCTCTCCGAGGAGCTGGGAGTTCTGTACCATGAACCTCCCGCAGACTCGGCAAAACAGGACACCACGCAGGACCGCGAGGTCGTGGGACGAGCGCGCACGGGGAGCCCCAGGGTGCGAGATCGCGGCCTCACGCTCAGACCCGCATGTTATCTGTCGCGCCCCCACACACCGACCAGGGAAGAACCCGGAAACCTTTCCCCTCACGGCCTCAAAAACGCGGCCACAGACAATGCATTTATATCTTGAATTCACAAGCTTGACACTGTGCCCAGCCGCCTCGAGTCTACTTCTGCGAGTGGCGAGAGAAGGGGGAGCCCTCGGCAGAGGAGGAGGACGCCCGACTCTGTCTGACACGAGGCGGCGGCACGTTAAATTAACTTCACGATTAACATCCAGCAGACGCGACAAGACCTTCCCAGTCATGTCATCTACTTCATTCAGGACATTCACATGGTCCTGTGGGACCTCTCCTAAGGCGGCAGCCTCCCCAGCAAAAAAATCAGCAACACAATTCAGGAAAAACTCGACCCTAGAGATGCCCCAAACCTCACGACTCCCCGCCGTGGAGTGGGCCTTGGTCCACAACACCTCCACAGAGCCTTCGCGAGCATCCAGGAGCGTCCAGAGCTGGTCCCAGAGGTCGAGCATAGGCGACGTAGCAGAGATATGAGACCTGTCCCTACGAAGACCACGCACCAAAGGCAGATAATCAGAGTAAGCCACAATATCTCCCACAGTATGTCTCAGCAGCATAATCATAGCATACATTTCGGCCCTGGGGCTCGACTGAGCCGCGGTGGGAAGGGTGCCCATGAGGATGGCGTCACAGGCCAGGTCCAAGCTCTGGAGGCTGTCCTCATCGAACCGAACCACAGACCACCCACAGCGCCTGAGCCTCCAATCCGAAGCGTAAATACCCCCAGAGCCATCCAAACCGCAACGACCTCCACGCACCACCTGGTCCCCCACGAAGAGGCCCCAAGACTTCGCAATCTCGACGGGCGGCGGAATGGGCGCGACGGCGGCAGCCAAGGGCGGGGGCCCACGAGTCCAGAACGCACTCCTGACATGCTCAGGCTGGTTCGCCATCTCGACAAGGTCCAGAGAGCGATGCATCGCGATGCTGACGATCGATGCATTGGCCGAGCATTCCCAGCAGCGGTGGAGGCTAGTTTCCCGAGCGGCCCCACACCTAGGACAGATGCCGTCTGTTTGGTACCCCGCATCTTGAAGCCGAGCTTCGGGCCAGGTACCTGCCGTAACAATGCACACGAGCAATGCGGCATCAGCGTACTGTTCATTCTTGATCATCTTAGCATGCGTTCTACGGAACACCGTGAAATCAGCACCTCCATCCAACCCTTCCCCACAAAAACGCTGA